CCCCCCTATAACACTGTTGATTATTCCGTTTTATATGAATTCCATGTTGTACGAATCACTTAGATTTTACAAATACGTGAGCTGTTTACAGCCCTGCACGTGTATTTGTAAAATCTAAGTGACTCGTACAACATGGAATTCATATAAAACGGAATAATCAACAGTGCTATAGGGGGGGTCGACTGTAAATTAATAAAATCGCAGCTACTTTAAATACCTTTTATGTTGATGTTTTTGGAGTTAAATATTAAAAAAAAAAATTGCAATTATGTTTGATATTTTTCGGTAATTAATTGCTAAAAATTTGCAACTTTATTATTATTATTTTACAAAACTAAAGCTGCTATAAGTTGTATTTCTGTTGATATTTTCCGGTGTTAATTACCAAAAAAATGCCGCTTTAACAACGTTAAAATCGCGCTGTAAAAACCCCGAATGGTTAAAAATAACATTAAAAATAATAACCGTAAAATTATATAAATATTTTATTATATTTTACATGAATTTTTAAAGGTAACGAGACGATTTTTTCACGAAATTCGCTCGTCATCGGTGGCATGTAGATGCGAAAGAATCGCGTTATTTTACACTTCTAAAAATCATTATAATATCGACCGGTTGGCAATTTTGAAAATGGATACGGATCGAAACTTTATATACAAATTAATCGGACGGAGCCAATAATTAATGTAACAAACGTACTTTAATAATAAAAGTGAAGACGGAACATCGCTTATCTTCATCAATAAATTAACTACTTTTCTACACGAGTATTAATTAATTAATTAACTTGGAATTTTAATCTCTCACGGGTCCCGTTTCTTTTAAAAAAAAAAAAAAAGAAAAAGAAATTTTTCTCACACTTCATCTCACGTGTCTAACACGTGCGATTTTGGATGAAAGACAAGAGCGCGCGCGATCGACACGTGCGCTTATATTAGAATGAATACGCGCGCTAAGCACGTGCAAAGAATACTACTATAAATACTACGAATAAATCCGGATGATAAATTTGTATTTTTTAATTTTTTTGTACCCAGCTTCCGGTCGAAGCGTGCGATTTTTTTTTTATATTATTATTATAACAAGTGATCGATACAAATCGATAACATTTTCGCACGGTCGGTGATCGTTTTTTAAATCGGACATTACTCTCGGCGATCACGTTACGTGTCATTCAATCACGTGGTTGTTAAATCGATCAGATGTTTTTTTTGGATGTTCTTCCACCTTTAAAGCGCGTATTAATGGTTATTTTCGTAACTGGAAACGGTATCAAGTAGAAAATTTCGAATGATTTGCAAAGTAATTTTCGGGAGGAAACTCTAAAATGTCATCTAGAATTTAATCCAATCCAGTAGTTTGACGGATGTGGGGCTAGATATAGATGTAGCACTGTTGGGAGTAGAGCTCAGAGGGCTTCTAATGGCCCACGCTGTGTCAGATCTAGGAACACAAACCGACAACTGACAGACCCAAGAGTGGTCGGAGGCCCTCTCACAGGATCTTTTTGTCTATTCTACTTTCGTTTTTTTTTTAAACATGTTTTCTACATGATTTACAACTTATTCCGATAAGAATCTTCTACTTCGTACTGTTTTTTTTTTTTTACTTTTATTTTTTAAAGAAACGAATTAAAATATTAAATCATTCCATCCAGTGTACTCAGAAGAGGAGGTAAAAAAGAAAAAAAAAACCTATTTCACTCTAAATGGATCATAAATATTTATCTTAAAACTATAAAAACACACCTGGAACTTTCATCATAAACTACGAAATGAGGTTAAAGAATAAAATTCGAAGTGCAAAACACATTACTTTATAAATTGTCGTACAAAATATGGGGGAAAGGGAGAGAGTAGAGTAAGAAAATATGCAGTGAAACTGTTTACAAACATCAACCTTTTCCCTCCCTCCCTCCCTCCCTCCCTTCCACCCAGTCCAAACCAACGTATTAAATGTTTCTAGACGATTTTCAGAAATGGGTTTGACTGGCAAGCCCTACCAAAAGAGAAATAACGAAAATCGATATTACAGGCGTCAAGTAACCTCAGTCGGCAAAGCTGATCTATTTGCAGTAAGAAACCCATAAAGAAAGAAGTGTGTTTCTCCTTTTTTTTTTTTTGACTCCATACTAATGTACGCCGCTCTAAAAAAAAACCTCCATAGATTTACTCCCCCTTCCGAACCTATCATCAAGAACAACACAAAAAAAAATTACATAAAATAAGATTTTACAAGTGTTACGTGTGCAATATTTATTCTGTAGCGCGTGTAAAAGTGGATAGAGTAAATGGTACCCAAACCAGATTTTCTTACGCGGTAATCACCGCCGACGTTGGGTCATTGGATGAACAATGGAGAAAGTAAAGTCTGCAGAACAGGTAATGAAAAAAATAAAATAATAAAATAAACGGGGGGGGAGAGGAAACTGGACAGATTATAATTGGGCACATTTGTCAAGGTCACGCCATTCGGGGTGGTTCGACCGCACGTGCGGATCGTCTTTTTTTTTTATTTTTCAGTGTAAATACATTTGGCGTTATCGATTTCTGATAGAATGATCGGTGCAACGAACTCGTTTATTTAATAAAAACGATCGAATTTTCGATCGGTACGAATTAATAAAGAGATAAATAAATATATATATATTTTAAAAAGAAAGAAAGAAAATTGCGTCTAGTCGAAGCCAGCGCATAGGTTCAATGAACTTTCTTCTCCATCCTCCTCCTCCTCCTCCTCCTCCTCCTCCCCGGCCTCATAACTATGGTTGCCTTAACCTAAATCTCCCCGACCGAACATCGATCAGTCCCGTGCTACTGTGCCACGGAGTCGCCCGTTCGGGAACATTTTCGGGAGCCCCAACGGCAGTTGTCTCCATGGAAACGGACTCACCGTCAGCCGCTCGATCGATACGTCTGACGCCATGTTATGCAGTGCGCGAGTCGAGTTTTATCATTTCTGGGAAAGGCGATTGTGTAAATAACGATTTCACAACTCACGAAAAAAACACGTTTCCTGGCTTAAATTTTCGTTTATAAAAATGGAAAATATTCTAAAGAATACGATTTCGGTAGACGGGATCGATCACCTTTCGATTCGGTATTAATTTAAATAGGTTTTTGGTAGATCGATTTTGACGCGGAACGGCGCGCACGTAACGATTAGCAGCGCTATGCATCATGGTAGTGAAGAAACGGTGCTGCTACGACAACCTTTAAGTTTACTGAATTTTTCTAAAGAAATAAATCAAACATATAAACGTAAAAGAAAATTGGGTGCATTCTTCTACTTTTAACAAATAAAATTCTCTCTTCTTTCTATTTACTTTATCTCTGGTAAAAGCAAAAATTCGTTTCAAAAGGCACCTTTAATGCATTTTTAACAGTTAAAAAAGACGAATTTATCTATATTTAATATAATTCTTATTACTTTTCATTATTATAAATTTATATTCCGCATTTTAGATTAATTAAATAAA